GTAGATTTAGGCTAGATATAAGGAAGAAGTTTTGCACAATGAGGGTGGTGAAACCCTGGCCCAGGTTGCCCAGAGAGGTGGTGGATGCCCCATCCCTGGACACATTCAAGGTCCGGTTGGACGGGGCTCTGAGCAACCTGCTCTAGTTGAAGATGCCCCTTCTCATGGCAGGGGGGTTGGACTAGACGGCCTTGAAAGGTCCCTTCCAACCCAAACCAGTCTCTGATTCTATGATTCTATGAATTTTCTGGGAAATAAGAAACTGTAGGTAGAAAAAATGCCATTCAGATAAGATTTTCCCTTAAACTATTTCTCTGTAGCATCCTTTTGATGGCGTGATGCTTGCATTATATTTAATCCTTCATACAGACATGGAAATTCAGATTTTAAAAGCCTGAGACCATTAGGAGGGAACAGACACTTCATTTCCAGGTGAACATCACAAGATGGTGCAGTAGGAAGTGAAACAGAGATCCTTCCTCTCTGAACACCTGAATGTTTATACTACAACTATGAAACGGTTGTAACAGTTTGGGAGAAAACTGCTGTTCAGCATAAGCAAATGTAGTAGGGCCACATTTCTTGCTCTGTCAAGCAATGTGCTTTGAGCTCTAAAATATATGCTCAGAGATCAGGACACAGTTTTATTCAGTAATGTAAAAAATCCTAAGGAAAGCTAGATTCCCGTTCTAAAATATTGGGGAATCAAAGCAGACGTCTGCAATAGTCAGAAGGCAAATGATAACACAGATGAGGTTTTTTTTTTTCATAACCACATCTAGTTCCTCTTTTTTGGATTTAATTGCATTCAGATGCTCACTTATCATTCTTCGTGGAGCACTCACCTTCCTGAGTAAACAGGAAAAGAGTTGGATCGTGCTGTATTTGGGTTCCTCTCGGCTCCAGAAGTAATGAGCTAATTGCTTGATCAAATAGTCCCTAGGGCATGGACTAGACAAGCCACTTGTTTCCATGTGAGGCTAATTGCGTTCTCTACTCAGCCTCCTGGCATCCCAGCTATGCGATGATTTCCAAAGCCGGAGAGAGAGACCAGCAGCCCGGGGACCAGCCCCGCCTGGAAGCTGCCCTCAGCGCTGGATCACACCCTCGCACCTTCCCCTGGTACTTGTGGTAGGGAATGATGAGAGGGGAAAGTTGGCTGTAATGAAGCTCCAGACTTTAAGATTTAATTGCAACACAGTGCGAGGCGAGTGGGCTGGGGAGGCCTTGCCGTGCTGAGAGTAGGGGGAGAATCCTTGATTTCTGTGGAAATGCTTTGCTCACCAAAATGTGGGTAGTGTACTATGTGGGGTGCTGCACATAAGCCAAATGAAATCCCCGATGCTGACCGGTGCTGGATGCCCCAGAGGAAGAAAACTTACTTAGGAGTCTTTTAGGTAGACCAACAGATGCAAAGAAATCCAGAGGTGTCATATTTTTAAAGGAAAGTGTTCAGCGGTTTATGAAATAGGTGTTTTTTTTCTAGCAGAAATCCAGTAGAACAGCCCAAAATGGTGCCTATCCAAATGGTTGCAGAGGGAAAAAATTCAGTTTGAGATGTTTCCATGAAAAATCATGACAACTGCACATCCTGAAGTTTTGTATTTATGTTAACAATCATGTCTCCGTGACCATGCGCTCTTTCATGTCTGCAGGCAAATTTTTTATAGCTATAGGAAAATGGCTCCAATCCTGATGTGCCTCCTTCTTTGGTAGCTCCTGGTGGTGAAATATGAAGTCTCTCATGGATTATTGCGAGCCAAATTTGTTGACCGTGTTCTTTTTTACTGATTTTTTTTCAGAAATATTCTCCTGAGCACCAGAATACAGTGCTCAGGGGGCTCCTCTTCTGCAGCACCAGACAAACCTCTGGGCAGGGGCATCTGTCTCCTCCTGGGCTCCAGGAATCTCTTCTGGTTCAGGTTTGCACTCAGTCATTCTCTTTTCATCAAAGTGCCACCCATCCCACCAGCCTCTGGTTCTGCAAGAAACCTTAACACGTGCCATTTAATTAAATAGATCCCAGAAGTGTCAGATTTGGAAAATCACTTCTTTTTGGATCTTTTGCCAAAGGAGGATGGCCACGAAAGGATGTTGCTGTGGGGTCCTGACTCACTGAAGTTAATGTGACTAGTCAAATGACAAATTGCTCATAAATATAGTAGAGGTCCACAAATAAGTGTCAATTAAGAATAATAATCCAGCCCTCTGATGTTCCCACATATTACAAATGCAGATCAATTTATATCTCCTAAAATGTCTATTTCTCTTAGAAGTCGTTACAATTTCTTGCTAATCAAATCTAACAATAGGGTATACAATAACCCACTATAGAAAGGGAGACGTAGGACCGGTCCTGAGCATTGGTTTTAAAGGTGAGCCTGGAGCCCCAGGAAAGCATGAAGAACTGTACAAACCGGATCATGAGAAACTCCTCGGCAAGGTAAGTGTTGCAGGCTGTTGCTGTGAGGGGACCTAAAAGTCCTGGAGGACAATTGCTTGCTCAGCGTTACCCAGCAGGGTTAGCTCTAGGATAAGAAGATGGGGAGAGATTAATCTGTCAAAATATTAGACACCTAAATCTGAGCTAGTTGTTCTCGGTTCATTTTACAATCTGTAGGTTCTATTTGATGCAGTCATGGGCGTTTCTCCTCACCCTGAAGCAGATGTCTAACACAAGCAAACCACACTGTACAAGTCCTTAGTTCTTCCTATCTTCTATAAAAGCCACCAGTGCAGCAGGATGAGTCACGGGGGGAGAAGCCACACGTGATGCACTGAGTCTGTCCAGCAAAGGAAGAAGAGCGGAAAGACTGAATGAACCATGAGGTGCTGCTGGGAGGATGTCAAGAGCAAATCCACCAGCTCACATGGGCTTGGGACAGGAATTCCAGTTGCCCCATGTAAACACTAGAAAGGAACCAGGGCTGATGCCTGTGATTCTTCGGCGGACTCCTGGTTTCCAGTGTAAACAGGATGCACTGCTCATGCTGAATGGGTTGGGTTTTGGTTTTGTTTGGGGTTTTTTTTGTTTGTTCCCCCCCCCATTTAGTATTTGTTAAGTGATCTCATTGGGGAATTTGGTCACCTAAATGTAGTCTGATGATCACATTCCACCTCCGTGATTGGAACACCTCAGAGAAAGAAAGATTTTCTGTTGCTGCAGAGCTGAGTGAGATATCACGCTCAGGAAAAGGCTTCAATGAGCTAATATGGAGCCCTGGGCCTAAATTCCACCAGAACTGAAGCCCTTTTACACTGCTGTGGCAGTGAAAAATGCCTTCAAAATGTGTCCCCCTTTACTTTGTCCTGAATGGCTTGAAGAGGTCCTCAAGGTAACTGGAGCTGTGTCCCCATTGGCATTGCCAAGCATGAATGTTGTTAATAGACGGTGGAGGAATGGACTGGGTGTATTTAATGGTTAAAAAGGTATTAGAGAAACAGATACCTCAACAGTTTGTGGAAGCGCTGATGGTCCACTGTAGGATTAGCTGTTTCTTACCATGAGAATTAGGACATGATATTTCTCATGGTAAATCAGATCAATTGTCCATATTCCTTAATAGCAGCTATCCATTCTCACTGCATTGAAAAACCCTAAGGTATCATTCAAACATTTATGGAAATAAGGAGATGAAAATATCCAAGCATATTAAATCTTCTTTGAAAAGCAATTAATTCAGTACCTGATTTTTTTTAATTACTGTGTCATTCCCGTTGGGAACCACATGACTCCGGTGCTAGATGGAAACAGAATTTGCTCAGTATCACATGTTATTCCTGGAAGAGGGTTTCCATCAAAAATTAGGATGTAAACAAATATGTAAAGCATGCATAGGTGGAGCCTGTTTAGGTAGTTAGTGGTCAGGCGTCCATACCCCTGGGCTCCCTTGTTTCCGGAGATGACGCCATGCAAGCCATATAAAAAGGTTTGCATTTTGATGCTCACATCAGTTCATTTGACTTCTCCCTCACTCACCTGCATTGGTGAACTGGTAAGTCTTTCTTGGATTTATCAGGGAGTAATGCAATGGCTGCGTGACTTGGCTGTTCTGATCAAAAGAATATATTACTGACCACAGGAGACCTTTGCTTCTAGTATTTCTCTTCCAGGACTTGTCCTGGAATGGAGGAGAGGATTTTGACTCTTATTTAGAGTTTACTCTTCCTTAAGTAGCTTGCAAATGTCCTGCCACCTCTTCAGAAACTGTGACTGTCTCTTATCCTTCTTCGTATTCTATCTTCATTAATTTTTTCATACCTCATTAAGTCTGGAAATTAAATAAATTAGTGGATGCTGCGGAGTAAGTCTTGGAACTTCAAAAGAGATGGGTGGGACGAAGCTTTATCTGGAAGAAGGAAGCTGCAGAATACCTGAGGGCAAAGCTGCAGGAGACATCTGGGAGAATTCAAGATGAGGAAATGAATTGGAAATAGGAGCTGCAACCACTGGGCCAACCCTTCTCTTATGAAAGGATGAGCCTATTAGTTTTGACGCAACTCCAATGATGTACCATGATACACAGCTGGAGGATTTGGGATAGTGTCTGAATTTGTGGTCTTTGGGCTTTATCCTCGGGGACTAGCAGTTCAGTGTCTCCACGAAGGTGGATGTGCTCTGTGGTGCGTGTGAGGAACTGAAGAAGTGATAAGCAAAAGATGGGCTCTGGATTGTCTGCTGATTTAATTAAGAAAATAAGGAAATGAGCTATTTTCATGTTATGGCTTCTACAAAGTTCAACTGTGTGCAATTCTATAAAAATTGAGGGTTTATGGCCCTAGTCTTCCTAACAGTGATGTTTGCAGGTTCCCAAGAAAGGAAGGAATAATCTGGCAGCATTAGTTGCATATGTCTGAATCCACAAATCATTCACACATGCAATTTCTTCTAGAAGCACTTTTCTCAGTCCAACAGCTAACTGCTAGATGTTTCGACAATTGTCTTGATTTTGTGTCTCTTGTTTTAGCTTTGTCTTTAGCTTTACCAGCACCTCAGAAGGATGTCTTGCTACGAGCAGTGCAAACAGCCCTGCCTGCCCCCTCCCATTTGCGTGCAGAAATGCACCAAGTGCGTGGAGCCCTGCAAGACGGTGTGCGTGGAGCCCTGCGGCAGCGTCTGCGTGAAGCCCTGCTCCACACCGTGCGTGGAGGTCTGCCCGGTGCCCTGTGCCACCCAGTCCTGCAGCACCCAGTGCGTGGAGCCCTGCAGCACCCAGTGCACCACGTCCTGCATCACCCAGTGCGTGGAGCCCTGCACCTGTGCCACCCAGTCCTGCAGCACCCAGTGCGTGGAGCCCTGCAGCACCCAGTGCGCCACGTCCTGCAGCACCCAGTGCGTGGAGGTCTGTCCCCCTAAGTGCATCGACGTCTGCGTAAAGCCGTGTGATGCTCCGTGCCCAACCCAGTGCTGCACCCAGTGCGTGGAGCCCTGCAGCACCCAGTGCTGCACCCAGTGCGTGGAGCCCTGCCCGTGCGTGGAGGTGTGTGCCACCAAGTGCGTCGATTCATGCGACACGGTGTGCCTGGAGCCGTGCAGCACGGTCTGCTCTCGCCCGTGCTGATCGCCGGAACGCGTGAGCCTCGCGTGCAACCCGGGTGCTTCGGTGCACTGCAATATCCATAGGCTCGTGAGCACCCACGGAATGAAAAACAGGCTACAGACCCACCTGCGACGTACCGAGACCTCTCCTGACCTGGTTACCCCGTGTTCTCTTTGCCTTGGCGAAGGTTTTTCTGAATGTTTCCAGCCTGTACCTTTGCTTCCTGTGATACTTCTGCTACTGCTCTCTCAGCACCTTTTTCTTGGTAGCTGCAGTTGGCCTAAATTACCCTGCTGGGCATCTTGGGAAGTTATTTAGCAATGGCTGTGCTGTAAGCAGTTGATGTTGGAAGATGTCCCCCCTTCTATTCTTTAATCATCTTGTCTTTTAATGTTTATGTGCAGCAATAAAAGTTGATCATCGATGGCATAATGTGTCTTCTGTCTTTCTTTCATCTCCCCGTTTCCATGTCTTCGGAACCAAGGACATCGTCCTTTAGTTTTCCTTCTAAAAGCTGTTATGGCTGCGGAGGATTTGTGCCTGCAATGCAGTGCCGCAAACAGAGCGAGCATGCATTGTAACGTGGAGTACCGTCTTCTATAACCATAAAAAAACCCATCAGCCAGTCAATACTTTCCTGACTGATATAAAAAAAAATTAGCTTTGTCCTACTTGAAGATAATGACAGAAACTTAATTTACACCTTTATTAATGGTAGAATATTGATCTTTATATCTTTGGATTTTGGAGGCAAATCTTAGAGAGTGTTAAAAGGTAAATTTCAGCATAAGAAAGCCCCAAATCCAAGAAAGAAGGAATTGAAATATTCTTGCTGGGATTTTAATTATTTCTTAAAAACATGCTGATGGAGACGAAAATGGTATTTTAGATTAATTCTGCCCATGATCCTCATGACTAAATATAGAAAGTAGGGGATTTGGCTTCAGGAGATGAATCTTTTTGTGGTTCAGGAACAGGTCTGAGCCCTGCAAGATTGCAGTTTTGTTCCCAGGTTTGCTGCAGATACTTTGGGCAGGTCCCACTCTTGTTATCTATCCGTTCCCCATTTGCAACGAGGAGAAGTCACATCCGTGACCGACAGAGTGGTTGGCATTTTGGGTTCGTTAACGTCTGGCAGGTACAATAATACTGTAGTTCACTTATAAATGCATCTTCTTTATTTGGAGTCATAATTTTGAAACGGAAGGAGGCCCATTGTCTGGAGGGACGTTATACCCCACTAAATGCCTAGTTCCAGAGATAATGCTCCCATTGTCCTCCACACTGTGCATGTGACTTGCTTACCTCTGTCTCCGTGATAGCCACACAATTTCCATGTCTGGGATGTAGAGAATTGCTATCCACCTACCGTATCATTATGGCAAGGGTGGAGAACATCTAATCTAGAAAAGAAAAGAGTTATATTTAGGTGTGTGTAAACACTGTTACCAAATCAGCTTTTAATGAAACCTTGTGTGCAGGTGTAGAGAGTTTGACAGTAGATTCCTTTTTGTGTTATTTCTGTCAACACCAAAAGGTGACACCATCAAACAGGAATAATGATAGGCAAAACACGTCTCAGTAAGGCAAACAAATTCTACACCTGAACACACCTTTCAGTTCAGGTAGACGAAGCAGGGGCAGGTGGACCAGATATTCAACAGCACGAAAATGGAGGGGGAGACTAGGGATGTGCACCTCTAACTCCCACTGTTGAGTGCGAAACTTTGGGGATTCAGCAATGGACTCTGCCTCACTAATAACTGCTTGACTGCTGCCGCATTGGTAGCGTCAGCACCCACTTTCAGGCATGGAAAAAAGTCCGGAAGTCATATGCAGCTACTGATGAGATCCATCCCAGAGGTTAGTCACCTGTGACTGATTTCCAAGCATCTTCATCCAACTCTATCAGCTGTGTTAGTCATCTAAAGTTATTTCTTCTCTCCCTCTCTGCTGTGAGCATTGCACCAGGCACAATAATCATAGACAGGAGCACGCAGCCCTGAAAACCCCAGAGGAAGTGGCAGGAGGGACCTGTTGGCTTGTGCTCATCACGCTTCCTGTGCCTGTAGGAAAATGTGTTGCAAAAGCCCTGACACACCGCTCTCCTATGCACCTGTGGTTAGTTCTGAGCATTGCTAAGATTCTCTCGTATATTTGCAAGAAATTCATGACCTTTGGTCCATGTCAACCTCGGGGTCATTAAGACCCCTGGTAAATCAGGCACGAGTGAGGGATGTTAAGATACGGCAAGGTGTTTTTTCCATTAGCACCTTCTGCTCTCCTACACCCAGGGGAAGCCATGTCCATCATCTCTCTGTGTATCGCACATCTGTAATGGGAGACTGGACTGTAATTCATAGGGTTGAATATGACCCCACAGGGCATAGCATTGAGGAGTACTCAAGGGAGGCTTGAACTACCTTTTCCATTAGAGCTGAAGACAATGTTTCAGTTGAAACATTTTCTCTGTTCCTTCCTTGGAAAAATTTCAAGAGGATCGATGTTTTTTTGAGGCACAGATCCATCCCCAGGAAAAAGAAATTCTGCCACAACTTCAGCAAGCCAAATCCAGTGTTTGCAAAACCCAACTTTTAGTTGCCTCAGTGAAAAGCTACATGAAAGTGCAAGAAAAAATAAGGAGAAAGCTTTCTAATTCCTTGGCAATATGAAGTGTTTCATTCCCCTTTTGGGGAAGGAAAATAAGGACAGAAGCAAACCCCAAAACCACAGACTGCCAAACACAGACCCGCTGCCCTTCTCAGGAGGACAGTCCTCCCTCACCCCACTCAGATTTATGCCAGCTGGGGATCTGTTCTTGTCGTCACAGCCAAAACTATCAGGAAACACCTAAACTTTATGCAAACATGTTCTGCTCACCCTGGAGCAGATCTGAGCCATCTCTCAAATCTGAGTTCAGTTGTGGGATCTTTGCCCAGGGTCGGGACAAGATGAATTATTAATAAATTAGCCAGTTATTACCAGATTGGGTGTGCCTTGCATTAAAAACAACAAATCCCCCGCACCTGAAAGAGGAGGTATCTCTCACAGACTTTGACTGAAGTCCAGGTGTATGGAGGTGTCAGTGGAGCAGGTTCTCGTTGTGAAAGATTCTGGTCATCAAGTTAATCTGTTGTCATCAGCTCCCGGGGCTGACTTCTGAAAGAGTATAAAAGCCTCCCGTTTGGGAGGCTTGTTAACCTGAGTGGCTTCTTCTTCCTCCCCTCTAGCAGTAGGAGAGACCAGGTGAGTCTTTCTGTGCACATCTGACTGTATAGGTGGGGGTTTCTGGTCTTGGGAGACAGGGTGATTTTTTTTTTTTCTTTATTTTGTTTCTCTAGTAGCAGTTTCAGCTCCATATGGGTGAAAAGCCATATTATGTTATTTTTGAGACTTTCTGAGGCTCCAGGCAGTGGCTTGCTGGCTCCTTGAACCTGCAAACCCTTGTCAACCCTCATAATTTTTTCCCAACTGATAAGAATCCTTGTGGATAACCAGTGGGTATTGAGTATCAGCTACCAAAAGATGGTATCCCCTGACAGCATGTTTTGCATCCATCCAGCAGCTATGGGCTGATCACTGTAGACTCCTGGATCTCCAGGGCTCTGAGTTTCACTTCTTTGTATAAGTTCATGTCCTCGTCAGGGCAGTTAACCAGCATTTAATGGCTAGAGACATGGCTCTTGCTCTGAGGCTCTCAATGAACTAAGCAGAGATGTGGTCGTTGCTGGAAGGGATCGTTATCAAACTATTTTTTTTTTTTGGCTCTTTCCAAACCATTTGCAATGCTGAAGTGTCATTCTCTTTCTGCTCCTCTTTGACTAGTTTTAAATATTGCTCTGATGTTCTCCTTGAACTAAGCATGCTTTCATTAAAATCTGTATTGCTGCTCATCTTCTCAAAGCTGAAATGCTCAGAAAAGAGTGAGCAGAGGGAAAGAAGGGAAAGCCCTCACTCTTTCTCTTCCTTCCACCTCTGTAGCCATTTACCTGTTTGGATCGCAACTTCCTTAGGATGGTGCTTGCCTTTTATATTCACTTATGTATTCACTTATGCTTATATACAGTTATGCCCTGAGGCCTCAACAGAGTGGCTGATCTCCATAGAGGCTAACTGTGATGGGAGCCCAGAAAAACAATATGGGGCAGCTACAGCAAACTGGAGTCACCAGCATAAACTTGGTCTGTACAGCAGCGTCCTCAGGGATTTCCAAGGGGTTTTTCTTGTGTGTGGTTGTGTTTTTTTTCTTGTAGGATTAACTTTTAAAGGCTCTTCAATGTTGGTTTGATGTCAAAGCTGAAGAACTGACTGAAACATCCAGAAAGGAGAAGTGTGTAGGGCTTAAAATAATTGAAATGGCACCTTGGTTTTCTTCCAGGCTTAGCAAAGATGTCTTCCCACCAGCAGAAACAGCAGCAGCAAATACCTTCAAAATGCCAGGAAAAGTGTCCTCCAAAGTGTGTGGAGCAATGCCAGCCCCCAAAAGGGCAAGCTAAGTGTCCTGTGAAGAGCATCCCGCAGCAGCAGCAACAGCAGCAATGCCCAAAGCAGAAGTAGCACTTAACAGCAATGGCCATGAAGTGCCATGGAAGATGCAAATGCTTATTTCCAAGCTCTCCTTCTGCCCACTGGCTCTGCCAGAATAGCTAGAACCTTGCAGCATGCCTCCTTTGTCTGCAAGTAGAAATTACTTTACAAAGAGATGCAATTCGTTAACTTGGATTTATTCATCCTCTACTATAAAAAAAAAAAATTGTGGGGCCATTTTCTTATCTTTAATTTGGGACATGCTACAATAAAATTATAAGTAACCTCATTACTTGCTTCCTGATATTTTTTCACTTTACTAGTTTCATTCATTCTCACTTGCTTTCTCTTATTAGCCAAAGAATTACCTTTAAACATACGCTTGTATACAAGGCACATGTACCTAGGGCCCCATGCACATTTGCCTTCCAGATTTCCCAAGGAATAATTTGTCCATACTCTTATTTAAGATAGGTCGAGAAACCTACAGCTATTAAAATGATGACCAAGCAGACCAGAAACATGAAATGTCTAGAGCAAGCAGGACACAAACTGATCACAATTTCTAGAAATTAGACCACTTAAATTCAGGACCCTCTGGGGCAGAGCTGCTGCCTGGGTGTTAAAACTAGCTCAGGATCAACGTGCTTCCTATGTTGGGGAGATCTTGCAAGCTGTTTTCATCCTGAACTGGAGCAAACTGGGGAAACTCAGTTTTCTGTGAGATATAATATTTTGCAATATCTTCTTGTGGGTCTAACAAAACAATTGTAGTCTTGAGTCTCAAGGACAGTATAGCTGTGCTGGGAGGAAAATAGTCTTTGGAAGGTTTTAACACTGAAAGGAAGCTTTTGCTTGCTCGGAAAGAAGAGTTTTGGTTTTGAAAGAAGCAGAAAGAGGATTCAGAATGTTTTAGGTTTTCAGCAGG